CTATGTATCAAACAGCACACTATGTTCCCTATATCACATCATTTGATCTTCCTGACAACCTCAACTCTCAATGCAGGATTGAGGTGAAGAGAGGGCAAGCAAAGATTATGAAGCAAATGGTAGGCCAGGCCCTGGGCCCAAGGCAGTCTGGCACAGCGTGTACCCCTTTATTCATCTATGTGATTCAATCTGTACTTTTTCTGAGAAGTGAAAGGTTATTCAGAATTGGGAAAAGTGGATGTGGAGAGGAATGGTCAAGACTGGAAGCTGAAAAAAAAATGTTGACTGATGAATTGAAAACCAGGCATCAAAGACTTAAACAAAAGAAGACAACTGTTGACAATGTTTTGTTTAGGGGAGAGGTCTGTAGTTTGTGACTCACCCTCCTATGGCTGCTTGTGCTATGTCTAGATGAAGAAAGATGCTGAGCTGCAATCTTTCTGGACCTCTCCAAGAGTAATCTCAACCACTGAGTGATCCTTTCAGCTGCCACAACTGATGTGGAACTGATTCCGGGCTCCTAGTCCTATGAGATAAACATCCCCACAATCTTATTTAGCATAAACACTGACTTGAAATCGAGCAGGCTGGCAAGATGGAAGTTGAGTCATGACATATTTATTAATCTGAGCACTGAGTTTGACACTCAGAGGAACACCAAATTAATTCAAGACACATTTCTTGCCCTTAAGGAGCTTACAGCATGGGTTTGGCTGAGGGACCACCCAACATCCATTAGGATGGGGAAATCAAATCTCCACTTTGGGCTCATTGCATTGCACAGAGTGACAGGCCAGGAGATTAAACTGGTCTTGGTGCATATGGAATGCACACCCGGCCTGCAGCCCCTCAGCCTGTGTGCATTAACTCCACCAGCAGCCTGGCTGCAGAGTGAAGGTGGCTGTTTGTGCATAAACATTGTCATTTCACTGGGACTGCTATTTCATCTTTGAACCTTGGCATCAAAGGAACACTGACCTTATTCCTGTAGCTTGCCTTTCTTTGAAGCGTATGGCTTTGCATTGCAGATTAAAGTGAAGACATTCATCAAGGAACAGATCTGGCCAACCGCTCCCCAAACTCCACCAGAAACAAAGCCTTGAAAGGCTCCAATCACAGTTGCAGTGGAGTGGGCTGAAGATGAAGGCTTGGAGCCAGGCTCCTCTTTCTCAGATCCTGTAAGTCAGCCCTAGCATGACAGTGCATCCCTTTGAGTGTTGGGCAACTTTACCCTGAAAGGCAGTCTGTCTCTGTAGAAAGGGGTAAGCTAATGCAATATTCCCAACCTGTTTCTGTTCATTTTCTTTAAAGCAGGCATTGTTGTAAATGAGGCCAGTGTGATCATTCACTGTGTGCCTTTGAATTCTTCAAAAGATGTGCCAGGCAGAACCACCTGAAACTTGGCTGATGATTCTGTCAATTGAGTTTTCTATTGCTTTCCTTTGTTCATTTATTTGAAAGGAAACTTTCCTATCTGTCTTCCTATTTCTGCTATCTTGGCTCTAAGAAAATAGACTGTACACACAGAATTCTCTGTTCTTTTTTTCTCTTTCTTTCTCTCTCTCTTTCTTTCTTTCTTTCTTTTTTCTTTCTTTCTTTCTTAAGATGGCAAGAGGAGTAAAGTGAGAAACTTCAAGTATGAGGTTAAAAATAATAACCAAATAATTGCTTAATCATAAGACTGAGGGAAAGAACCAAGAGAAATAGTTCCCACCTCAGGGGAAGAAAAATTGATGATGGATGACTACTGAAGGGCAAATTATCATATCTTCAAATGAAATCTTTCTGCAGATCTTCAATTCTGATCAGATAAACAGCGAGTTCTGTCTGCAGTGAAGGGGTAAAGCAATCCAGAGGAGGGAAGGAAATGATTGTAAAGTTGTATACATATAAATCAACTGATTCTAAGAACAAAGCACCAAAGAGTTTAAGAAATTAGTGAAAATCCCTGCTGAGACTTAGGCTAATTTTCAAAATAACGTTTTCCTTGTTAATCATCTTCAAAATAATACCAAAGGATAATTTTGATTATTATGAGACAAGTCACTTGCATTTTTGCTTAAATCTCAAATAATTGATTTTCCATTAAGAAGTGCTTGAAGTTCAAGAAAAAATTAATACAGCTTTGTGGAAAGCCAATGGTTTCAGGCCAGTTTTTTTTTTTTTTTAAGTTTAGTATTATTCATCTATTTGTTTATTTTTGTGGTGCTGGGGATTGAACCCAGGGCCTTGAGCATACTAGGTAAGTGCTCTATGACTGAGCCATACTCCTAGCCCCTGAAATGTTTTTTAAGATAACTTGACACACATAGAAATGAATGTAACTCTAAATAGCTTTAGTTTTTAAAGGCTGAGAAATAACTGCTTATACAATCTCCATATCTCTTTTTGGGGGGGTACTGGGAATTGAACTCAGGGATACTCAACCACTGAGCCACATCCCCAGCCCTATTTTGTATTTTATTTTAGAGATGGTCTCACTGAGTTGCTTAGTACCTCACTGTTGCTTTTAACTCACGATCCTCCTGTCTCAGCCTCCCAAACCACTGGGATTCAGGCATGCGCCACCACACCTGGCCTAATCTCCATATCTCTTAATTTACCACCTCTTCTTTTTGGGTATGACTATGTGACCAATTTTTGCCAATGAACTACAAGCAAGGTGATAAGTGTCACTTGCAGACTGACCTCCCTTTCTCTCTACTTTGGTGACCATAGAGGCTATGAGTCAAGATGGCCAAGCCTGAAAACGACCTGAATCACTGCCCTATTGACAAGAAGTGTGCCAAGAGTTGTCTGATTTTATTAGCTTTGTTTGGTGCAAGCGATAAATAAAACTTGATTCTGTTAAGCCACTGAGATTTTCAGGGTTTATTTGTTATGGTGTGTAACTTAGTTTATCCTGACTAAGGGTCAGGATAGACATCTAGTCCTACTTTCCTCTGTAGTAAGAATTTTTCCTACGGCATCCTTGAAAAGTGTTCAAATACTTCTTGAACACTTCAGTAATAATAGCAAATAATAATAATACACAATTAGATAGGACTTATTATTATATCCAGACACATTTAAAACTATTCAACATGGATTAATGTACCAAATTCTTATTAAACCTAGACACATAAATATTATTTGCCTTATTTTACAGCTGGAGGAACTGAAGCACAGAAAATTTAAGTAATTTTCTCAGGGTTGAAAAGATAAATCACTTTCCGAAGGCCACACAATGCTAAGTAGATTCAACTACCTTCAGCCTATAAAATCAGGACTTCCTAAACTGGGTTTGTATTTCCTTTTTGCAAAGAGCATTTAACAAGATGCAATCCCAAGGAAGACCTTAGAGATCAATCAACCACTAAATTTTATAGGAGGAAGAGAAATTATCAGAAACCATTCTTCAGGCCATTTTCCTGATTTAGGGGGAAAAATGTTTTACTTTGTGGTTTCCAGATAAGTATCCTGGGGAGAACTACAGCTTAATAGAAGGGCCGCAGTGGCTATAGGTCAGAATGTATGGAGACACTGCTTCAACCAGACCAGCCTTATTCTTCTCTGCTTTAAATGAGGAACACAGATTGTTCCTTATCTGAAATGCTGTGAGCAGCAGTGTTTTGGATCTCAGATTTTCTTGGATTTTGGAATATTTGCATATGTATAATGGGATATGTGGAGGATAGAACTAAAGTCTAAACACAAAATTCATATATGTTTCACATACACCTGATATACCTAACCTAGAGGTAATTTTAAAAATATATTTTTTTAGTTATAGATGGACACAGTATCTTTATATTGTTTATTTATTTTTATGTGGTGCTGAGGATCAAACCCAGTGCCTCACATGTGTGAGGCAAGTGCTCTGCCACTGAGCCACAACCCCAGCCCCCTAGAGGTAATTTTATAAAATATTTTTAATCACTTGCTTTGACTATGTCCTATCACATGAAGTCAGATGTGGAATTTTTCACTTGTGGTATCATGGCAGCTCTCAAAAATTTTGTTTCAGATTTTAGAGCATTTGAGATTTCAGAATTTCAGGTTGTGAATGGCCAACAGGTCCTAGGTTTCTGGTAAAACACATACTGAGTAAGTATTCTGCTGCCTTTAATAATATTTAAAAAAGAGGGATATCACCATATATCTACTGAAATAAGTTTGGAAGTTTGCACTAAACAACACAAGGCTTTGTACCAGCTGGAAGGAGGGACAAAATACAAGAATTGCCTAGCCTAGTGGCCTGTTCTGGGGTCAGTATAATTTGCTACTTCTATAAATGTGCTTACTAGCTTGCCTGGCAGGGAGAGTTGCTTTATTCATCATTGAAGTCCCCACTGGTATGTGACACATAGTAAAAACTCTATAAAAGAGATCTGAAAGATAGAAGGACAGTTCCAAGAGGCTTTGATGAAACCATTCTTCAAAAATAAATTCTTCAAAAAGAAGATTATATTCATTTGGGTTGAACAAAGTAGCCAAATTTTAGCTGAGGTGACCCAATGACAAATAAATGACTGGAAAGCTATTGTGTGTGTTTTCCCCATAGGTCCTCAAGTGGCCACTGGTGGCTTTCCCTTGCCTAACCTCTGCCGGAAAAAATACAAAAGCGTTTCAAGAAATGAATATTAAATAGACTAATTTGGTCTCTGGGAAATATAGGAGACAGAGCTCAAACATGTATAGGCAAACACACACACACACACACACACACACACACCCCACAATGTTTACTTCATTTTAACATGGAGCACACAAAATGGTCCAAATTTGCTAATCATGTAAAAGGGTGAATTAGAAGATTTTCTTTGTTTAACAAAGGATTTGTGTGTGTACATGTGTGTATGTATGTGTGTACTGACAACAGCTACAGTATACTTGTCACTCAATTTGATTTACAAATTGGACTTCATAAGACAAGGGTGTGTACTTGAGAAGGAGGCTGACTGACAGAGAGGTTTGAGAGAGGAGTTCAAGGGAACTGTGCTCTTTGAAGATGCTCTTACCTTGTGTGGTCCCATCCAGGCCCATGATGAGTTTCAGTGATCTGATGATTTGCTCTGCAATCGGGGGGCTCATGGATGTTGCATAAACAGCACTATGTGAGTGAACCCGTAAATAATCCACAAGTTCCTTAAAGAAAATAGGAAACCAAAAAAGAAGGCAAATAAATATCAGTACTGGTGGTGATTATTAAATCTAGTTCCATCCCCATTCATTGCAACAAAAGATATTTTGATTTTTTCAGCTCAAAAGATGAAGGTACTCTGGTTTCCAATGGGGATTTCCAATTGCTTATTTTTTCTATCCCTTTTTTCTTAGTCTTTCCTTCAAACACCTATGAACAGTATAAAGGGGGGTGCTACAAGTTTGAAGTTAAGGTCTCCAACTTAAAACCAGATGTATGAAGGAAAAATGATTTCTGAAACACTTCTGAATGCCTACTACATATGAACACTGCCTGCCTTAGTATTCAGGAGTATCCAAAGAATACAGGAAATAGTTCTTGCCCTTAAGAATATTACATATGATCATGCTTATGGAAGCGGAAGGGTACAAGAAATAATAGATATGCGAATACATGTATTTAACAGGGCTACAAGATGCATAGGAAAGAGAGAGGCTGCTGGTAGATAGTTGGAATAGATAGGGAAGCTTCCAGTGAGAAGATGGGATCGATTAAGCCTTGAAGAATGAAGATAAACAAGAAAAGAAAACTAGTAAGAAGTGGGTGGCACAAGAGAGAAATCAAAGGTGCAGAGAGGCAAGAGAGTGGAAAGCACGTATATTTGATTTGTTAGCAAAGAAAGTTTTGTAATTCTTTTACTCCCTGTACCCATACATCTTTGCAATCCAACTTGGTAGGCCCTTCCATCGAGAGACAGAAGACTCTGGGCTGGCCTTGTGAATTACTTTGAGCAGTAGAATGTGGCAGAAGTGATGGTGAGCTAGTTCTGAGCCTATGCCTTAAGAGCAATTTCGTCCTTTCAGAACCTTTTTAAGCTGCCATGCAAACGAAGCCTGAGCTAGCTGGCTGGGGAATGAGAGCATGTGGAGAAGAGCAATGCCATTTCAGCAAAGGCCACTCCAGCTATCCAGTGATCAGTTGACCCAACAGCTGACTGTCACACACGGACAAGTTCAGATGAGACCAAAAAGTAGCCCAGTCGAGCCTAGCCCATATTGTTTATATATAGAATTGTAAGCTAAATACATGTGGTGTTTTAGTCATTAAGTTTTGGGGTGGTTTGTTATTTAGCAAAGACTAACAGATACACATTTTTGTAGGCTAGCAGAGAACTAGTTAGGTAGGGATAGTGGGAAATTAAACCAGAGTATAGGATAGGATCAGATAAATGTGGATTGTGCCTTAGGCCATAGAGACCTATTGGAATTTTTGTATAACAATCTTTGGAGTGCTGAGCCATTACAGAATGCTGGTTTTCAGGGGTAGGAACAATATTTAATCCACATGCCTAACTAACTTCTGGGGCCAATTATAAAGTCCCAGGAAAGTTTGCTGAGAGTCCTAAGAAGTTTCAAAAATTGAATGCCACTATGGGGAGGGACTCAGAGCTGGTATTTTCATGTGTTCAGCTTGACTTCACTAGCTCATGGCCTGGGACTCTCTGGATGTCCTGTAGAAAAACTAAGGCAGTTAGTGGTAAATACGAATTAATAGTGAGGTCTTTAAAGGACACACCATTTTCTCTAGGATATCATCATAGCTTAAAATTCCCTTTAAGTCTCTAAATTATTCCTTATGGCTGTGAACTGGGAAGAGCTCTTAGGAATTGAAAGCTTTTGTTTTTGGGTAGGTCCATATCCTCCTAACCCTCCTTCACTGGTCATATAAATATTCCCCCCTCTGAGCCTGGGAATGGGCCCTGCCTCTCATTTTCCCATCTTTTTTGGGGGTATTTGTGGGCATGTTTTTTTTTTTTTTTTAATTTACAAGTATTTTGAACATTTGAAGTTCATCTTCCTCAGTAAAGTGGCTGGTCAGTCTCACATGTGGTGGGTGAAGGTTAAATCAGTAAGGTGATGACTCTACCTGGCCTTTAGGGGGAGCCAAAAGCTCCATTCTGTCCTTCCTGCCTCCTCCAAGGTCCTTCATTCTAAGTCCCCTCTTCCACTCTGCCTTCCTCTCTACTTTCTTCCTCCTTCTTCTGCACTTTAAATGGTTTATTCCTTTTGGTTTTTTCTTCTTTTCTTCCTAGGTTCTTTCTTTCTCTCTTCCTTGGACTCGGGTTCCCTTCCCCCCTCTTTATTTATTTATTTTTTTCATTTCAATTTTTCCATTGAAATGTTTTTTCCTTAGTATTTTCTTCCTTTCTTCACTTTTTTTCATTCACTCTCTCTCTTCTCCCCTTTCTTCCTCTTCCCACTCCTTCCTTCCATCTTTCCTTCTAGTCAGTGTTTGCCAAAGACTTGCTCTGACCTATGTGTGGCAGTCCAAGAGGGGAGGGAGGACAGATAGGGACCATACTCTGGTTCCTGGCATCCATTATTCATGTTTATGATGAAAATTAACTTCATGTCTATTCTGTTCTTTTGTGAATCATAAATCAGTTTGGTGAAACTCTTTGGGAGAGTTTTCCTCTAGTCAAAGAGCATGTGTACGATGATGTCCTGACTTAAGGCATTAGCCAGGTAGCATTCAGGAAGTTCATTCTGGGGCATCTGGTATACCTCTAAAAGAAAGCGATCATTTTCCAGGTTGCTACAACCAGGCTGCCCTTCAAGTTCTGTGTCCAGCACCTCTAAGGAGAACCAGCAGGGATTTTCTTTCTCTGTTGAGAGCGAGTACCTTCTCACATGATGCTGGAGGAACCAAGTAGGAGAGAGTGGGTGGGTCAAGCATGTAACATGGATGGGTAGAGGGGACAAAAAGATAAAACTCAGCAGAATGTCTTTATTTCAGCTCCATCATTTTGCAGGAGGTAATGTCCTAAGGTTATGTAACTACACACAGATAACCTCTCACCATAAGCCAACTTTATTCAGCTCATGATCTTCTTTCATGATTAGAGGGGTGGTGCAACAGCAGTGAAAAGAAAGAAAGAGAGTGGCATTCTAAACAAAGGAATACTCAGACATGAAGACAGACTGAATGACTCTGAAGAGAAAATGGGGCTAAAAATTGACACCATTGCTAATGTATATGCATTTCCTATGTGAGGCTCCATTTTAAGAACTTTGTAGGTGTTAAACTTATTTGAGCTCCACAATAACTCTATGAGATAGGTACTGCTTTTATCACCATTTTACAGATGGGACCACTGAGTCACAGAGAGGTTCAGAAAATTATTCACAACAGGTGGCAGAATGAAGATTTGAATCCAAAGAATCTAGTGCTGGAGTCCACTCCATCCTTGGTATTAGACTCATTATCTCTCCAAACCAGACCAAGAGTGGGCTTAGTTTAAGGTGAGGGAGGGCCCAGGAGAGCACAAAAACCAATGAGACTTTTATTTACTTTGTGGTACTTTCTTGATCCACAGAGATAGTTCCTTTCCTGGGGGAGAAGGGGAAGAATTCTGGATATAAACCAGTCTACATGGTCCTAAACCACAGCTTGAATTCTGTCTTTAAATGTTTCATGTCTATTACTTTTGTTTCTTCAAAGGAAAGAAAATCCCTTTGGGAACAGGGATAGAGCTAGTACACTTTCCTAAAATCCACAGAAGTGGGTATTTAGCAGGGGCCCAGCACATCCTAATTATCTAGTGGAAGGCAGAAGGGTTTCAAAGATGGAAGAAGGATAGCGGGACTCCTTGATGTATATAGGGAGTACTAAGCTGCATTCTTAGGAACAAGTATAGCAAATGTTCCTGGTCTGAAGGGCACTGCTGACCAAGACCAGACAAGGAAACAAAGCCTCTTTTGATTCCCACTGTCCCCAACTCCAATTTTCTTTCATAAACTGAGAATTTCACAAACATTCTCAGTTTGAGTAAGTAGCCCATCAATACAACACAAAGACCTTCCATATTACATTATTATTCCTTTGGACTGAGTTCACTTTCTCTCAGTCTGAATTTGCTGGTGGGGGTTAATTTGCTGTGTGGTTCAGAAAATGGGAGTCTTTAAGTAACTTCTGGAGAGTGTCAAGGAAAGCCTCAATTCTTGCTTACTGATTCCCTTCCTTTCTTTCCACACCCCCCATTGGGCTCCTTGAGCCATGAATTAGGCGTTGGCTTTGGTCTTTTGTAAGGTTAGTCTGGGTAGTGTCTTTCTTCAGTGTGGGTTAGAGGTCTGCTCAGAATGAGGTTTCTAAGTCCATTTGTAAGTTCAAAACCCTGATTATTTTCTTTACCCATAGGCCTGGAGTTCAAGGACAAGGGTGGGTTTTCTGGAGGAAATCAGACAGGAGGTTCTTAGAATAAACATCTTGGTACTCATTCCATGACCCCTATTTACTTCAAAGGGCTGTTAAATACACCCAGGGCAGAGCTGGCTTCTGCAAGGGGCTTGCCTCCTTCTGGCATGCAGGCTGCTGGGGCTAATGATCACCCCAAACTCTGCTGCCCTATCCCACTCTCCTCTTTCAGAATTTCAGCCCTGCAACCTATCAGTCATAAGGACAACCTTTGCTTCATTCATTTGCAACTTTCTGGTCAGCCTTTGGAGGCTGTGGAAGCAAGTGAATAGCAAAGGCATGCAAGAAGTGTGCAGATCTATGCCTGGAGAAAAACCGAGGGTCTGCTGTGTTCAACACATCTTCCCAGCAACTGGATAAATAAAACTTAAAAGAAAGAAAGAAACGAAAGCAGAAAGAAACCTAGCCCTATCACCTCAGGCTTTCTTCAAAGAAGTCATTCATGGCATGGAGCTCTGACATGGGGAAGGAAGGGATTATCTGACATTTCATCTGAAAGGTCTTAAAAGGACAGGGTCCTCCAAATGGACTATTTACTCTGTATATATAGCAGCTCCAAACACCATGTGAGCAAAATTAAAAACTCTTGCAAGCTTTTGAGAAATTGCTTTGATAGTTTACCTGAGGTAGGGAAAGAAAGCCACAGCCCAGAAACAATCTCTAATTAGCAGAGATAAATTTGTAGGACATTTATGAGGGGAAGGCTGAGACCCAAACACATCTGAATCCAAAGAATCTGGTGCTGGAGAACACCCCATCCTTGGTATTAGACTCATTATCTCTCCAAACCAGACCAAGAGTGGGCTTAGTTTAAGGTGAGGGAGGGTCCAGGAGAGCACTAAGCCAATTTTTCTCAATCAATCAAGATATTGATTTCTTATATGATTTGTTCAGTTACTAATGTATAAAGCTGACCCTGACCCATTCTTCAAGGATTTCTAGAACTTCCCAAACACTGTTTTTGGGAATATCATCCTTCTACATGAGTAAGGCCATTTGAAGAGATTTCAGAGCCATATATTTTTGTCTTTTTTTCAAATCTTTTTTCTAGATTTTTGTATTTGCATGATTATTTTCCAATTTCAAGATTCACCAAGAACCTAAAGTTTCAGAAAAATGTCAAGACTAAGAGTGTGCACTTAACTTTTTATGGTTAATTTTGTATCCATTGGTTTTGAATCTTAGATCTATTTTGTAGTCCCCCCCACCACCTTGAAATATATACTACCAAATATCCAAAGTTTCATAAACTTTGAAAACTGTGCACTAGTTATTTAAATAGATGAATAGGAATATTTTTTCAAATGAAAATTTTTACTATTTGCCCAATCCTATGCTCTTTTGATTCAAAAGCATAGTTTAAAACAGACTTTAAAATGAAATTGTTCACAAAATTATATAAAATTTAGGGGAATAAAATATGTTACTTAAGTAAGACGTACATATAATTTTAAATTAATATAGTTAAAAATTATAAAGATATCAAGGAGCAGATACATAAATTGTATTCCTTCATGGGCTATTTAGGTTGGAAGGAAATCAATTTATCTGGGTTTATTATGGTCTCACCCAAACTGTTCCAGACAGATATGGGTCTGACTAAATTTAAAATCATCAGAGAATTATCCACACACGCAGTTTTTTAGGTGTCCTCTGCTCACTCTCCAGGTCTTCCAAACTACCTTGTGTATTCAAGATTTCATATCTTGCTGGTTTAGGGCCCTGGCTGATGAACCTCTGCCAAACACTCTCTAATTCCTGCTGCCATCTAGTGGTGCATTCAGAGACTGCATGTAACATGGAGTTTGGGGACAAGAGAGGAGGGGAAGGAGAGAAGGGGTGTGCATGAGGCAGCTTGCTGGATCCAAATATGGTGAACAAAATTGAATTTTCAAAGTGCAAGGACATGAACAAATGTAAAAACTTATTCTGCAATCCTAATTAATGTAAATAATTTTACAGTTGCTTAGTCTCAATCCCCAAATGAATAGATGTCATGTAGGCAAGAGTACCTCCACTTTTAAATATGGCAACTGACTTCAGGTTGGAAAGTGGGAGAAAATCATAGCAAGCTGGTCCTAACTTCAGCTAATCACAGGCCTTTGTTTAAAGTGGGTAACAAACAAAGACACTCAAAAGAGAAAAATATGACATCTACGCAATTTGACAGCATTTCAAGGATCTGCTTGCTTCAGTTTATTCAGGTGCCTTTGGCTCAGGAAACATAGCTACGCTTGGTTACAAATTTTGTAGCTCAGACTGCTGCTAAAGTAATCACAAAACCACAACCTCACAAAGCAATGTAACCTGGATGAGGGAGCTTCTAAATTTGAGACCTTCTGATCCCACTGCTGTGACAGTTAGGGAGGGAATATTTAACCTTTCCTAGATTTAGCTGACATTTGTAAGAATCTGGGCCTCTCCTATGTTTTTAGCATTAGCCTGCTAATTCCCACGGGCCAGTAGAGTAGGATGAAAAACCATGCTTCGAGCACCGGAAGAAAGCAGTACTTACTGGAGGGTAAAAGACCACTTTAAACTCTGAACATTTTAAAGCATCTGTACATCTCATGGCAGGGAGAGTGGCTAAAATGAAATTCGTTATTTTAAATCACAGACTTTCACTGCTCCTACCAGGAGGCTGAGCTTGTGTTCCTGCTGGTCACAGTGGGAAGGGAATTGGGAATTTTAGACAAGCTATAGATGCCACCTGCATGCATTAGTTTGGGGCCTGTGGTGCCATGAATGCAAGGTAGAACCAAACTCCATGGTCACACAATCTGTTTAGGACAGGTGTAGGCTTGTGTGAGATGACCTGCAAGAGTTGGATAAGGCTGTATGTAAGGAGGTTGACAACTCACTCCCTGATCTGGAGAGTTTGAATATTTGATTTTCTTCTTGTCCCTCTTCTTTTAAAATTTCTTTCCAATATTTGTTTTTGTATGTTTACAAACCCCTTGGTGATATATGGGCTCTCAAATAACAGGGTTAGAATTCATTTAATCATCTAATCACATCAAATCAGAACTTTTTTTTTTAGTTATATAGATAAAAAATTAGAGAATGACAATATTTGGCCTATCACTTATCCAACAACATGAGTAAGTATGGTTTTGTAGACAAAGTGTCTTAAAAGTCTGTTCCTGATCCTGTCATTCTTTTGATCAACACTTTTAAAACCCATGGGGTCAGCCTCTTTATATCTGTCTTCATTTAAAATTTAGATTTCAATTATAGATTGAAATTCGTTCTAAAAGATCCCAGATCCTACCCTGGAGAGTCTGGATCCTCTGTACCTTGTGCACACTGCTAGCATTTCTTTTTTTTATTATTATTATAATGTAATCATTCAACCCAGGTTTCTCTTTATCACTGGAGTGTGAGTTCCAGGTTGTTCCAGGCCTTGTCTGGCTCTAAACTGGTTACAGAGATTAGACAAGACAAGGTGCATTGAATTGATACTTTCAAAGAATTCAGAGAAGCCCTGCTGACATGCTTTGGGGTGTTCAGGGTTTAAAAAGACATAAGGAATCCCTTCCTTACCTTTTTTCCAGCTATATAACCACCAGAGGATCCAAAGCTTTTGGTGAAGGTGCCCATGTACACATCAACATCATCAGGGTTCATTCCAAAGTATTCTCTGACACCCCGGCCAGTTGGGCCCAAGGCCCCAATACTGTGAGCCTCATCCATGTAGAGGTAGGCCTTGTATTTCTTCTTCAGAGCCACAATCTGGGGCAGATTCACAATGGAACCTTCCATGCTAGGAATAAAATGCTCATAATCAAATGCTCATAATCAACAAATACTTTCCTGTGAAGCTCTATTCGTCTCTCTTCTAACCATCCTAGATAGCCTGTTCTGACACAACTAGGGGGTGTCAGGGACATATCATTCCTTTCTTCTCAAGGCATATTTTTAAAAAAATAAGACAGTCCTCTCAATCTTGTAAGCTACTTGAATAAAATAATTTACATTCAATGAATTTGAACCACTTTGGGTTCTTACAGTTAATCTCCAAGCCAACAATTAACCCAAGCCAACAATTAACCCACCTTATTTTTGATCCAGTTTATTTGTAAAGCTGATTATTGTAACTAGACTGACCATTTTTGGCTTCTAGGTATTCTACTAGTTATAAATTGCTTTATGGTGACCCATTTTTATCTACCTGCTTTTGCCTGTTTGGCCAGGCCTGTCTGACCTAAATTAAGTGCGTGGATTTGCCAAAGATTAAAAGAAGGAATTAAAAACCCACAAAAAACTGACTTAAGACATCATGGCATTGATTATAGCATAATAGACAATCCCTAGGACCTCTGTTCAGTACTCACTACCGGTCAAAGTCTTATTGGAAGCATCCTGTGGAGTTCCTTCTTTCTGTTCCTTTTGGGCAATGGAAGGATGTTGAGCAAGTGTCAGAATCCCCCAAGGGTTTAAGTTGTGTTCCCTACCAGAGAGTTTCTGATTCAGTAGGTCTAGGGTGGGGCTTTGAATGTGCGTAAGCTCCCAGGAGACTCTGACACCAGTGGTTGAGGACAACACTTTGAAGACAAATGCTACAGAGGAATCCTTTTGCTTTAGACCTAAGTATTTTATTTTTCATGGGATTGTAAACTGCAAAAACACTTAAATCTTCCAACCAAGGGAAAAATATAATGTCAATCAATAAAATTAAAATTTATATTTACATTTTTTTTTTTTTTTTTTTAGAATTCCATGGGTTTAGAACTTTGGACTTTCATCCATTCTCAGAAAACTGTGGGCTGTGTCTACACGGCACACAATTTTGATTGCCCTGACAGGCGAGTTTCACGAAAACACTCAAACTCAACATGCTCGCCACACAAAGGAGTTTGTCAAACAATGCTAGCACCCCTTTCATTTAGTTCAAGGACTAAATCAATTCAATCAAACAAAGTTGAACTACTGCTTCCTTTATAATCAGTTTATTAGATTAAATTTAGTGTATTTAAAAAAAATAAGCTTATAAGTGAGGTTGATTGGATCACAATAGTGCAGCTGGTTGCATAGTTATCCAGACCAAAGTAGGTGAGTTTGGGGAGAGTATGATTATCACTGAGCACAACATTTGTGTTTTTTGCAAAGTTACTTTGGATGTCTTCTCTTATGTAAATTTGTGAGTTAATTCCAACATTTCCTTAGGTTGACTGCTTGTTGAACCTGTCTGCATGGAAGGGGAGCCAGGATGGCCATCTGACTGCCTAAATTTAGAATATGGCCACTAGCTGGAAACTTGGGCAACTTATGTACCATTCTCTGCCTCAGTTTCTTCCTATGTAAAATAAGCATGACAAGGGAGCCCTCCTCACAGGGTCTTTAGAATATAACTAGAAATCGTGCTCGTAAAGTGCTTGACACACAAGTGCTCAGTGAATTGTTATTGTTCCTGGGAGGAGGCATGTAGGAGGACGTGGTTGCAATGAGGTCTAACTTGGAAAACTGGGAGCTCTTGACAATGCCCTGCATTGAATCTTCTAGGAATGAGGCACGTGGGTGTCATTGTGGGTGTCAAACATAATAAATGGCATTGGGCCTTTGGAATTCTAGAACTTCCTTCTCATCTTTAAAATGTTATAAGTTGGTAACACAAATATGCTAAAAATATTTGACATGCCACAAATAGCCATTCTTTGTTCTGGAACTGGATTTGACAGGAGGCAGTTAATGTTGAATAGTGTTTATAGACACTCTCGGCAGGTAATTAACCATCCTTCCATGGGGCTAGTCTAGCTGATGTTAGGAGCCTGCCCACCTGGTTTATATTTCTTCCTCTAAGATTAATGACTGTACAGTACTGCTGATTTCTAAAGTTAATGCAGGGCACACATAGAGTCCTAGGGAGAACTCAGCTTTTATACTGTTTTCATTTTCTCAGTGTGATCATATTTTAATTGAACCTTTTCTTTTAGTGGGATATTAAATCTTGCATAAAAACTATCTTATTATCATGAATTATTATTTAAAAAAGCACCCAAAACAACAAAGAAGAAAGAACAGCATTTTGTTCTTTGTAAAGGAAAGATTATATTTTTAACTTCAATAGAAGAAAAAACAACTAAAGTATAACTATAAGATAATTCCACCAGTTAATTTGAAGCTCTGTGCAGGGACTTGAATTATTCTTAAACCAGCAAGTCAGTGAATCATTTCTTTATATATTTTCTATTACACAGTGTGTATTAGCTAAGTGACAAGACTCCCTTTTGAAATCTCCCTCTCATCACCTTTCTCTCCACATATAAACCATAATATCCACTGGCAGGATTGGAAATTAAACCATTGGTTGGCCAATTTGCATGTGGAAAAATCACCCTGGTGGGTCCAAAGATGAGAGGAGGTGGATAGAGAGAGAGTTATAATTGAAAATAACTATTCTTTCATTATTCTTTGCTTTTACGTGTTTAAACCATAGAGATATAGGATAGTGTTTACCATTAACATTCTCAATTCTTAATTTATACTGTTTTGGAGAGCCAAATGGATTACTTAGTCTATTCTTAAATCAGATGGCATTCTGAGACTTCAGCATAAGTTTATATGTGCATTTTTTTGAAGTTTGGGCTCCACCCATGCTAGTTTAGGTTCCAGGTTATTTGGGATATTTTCCTTATCCAGTATGTTTTTAAATAATTAGGAGATTTCTGAACCACCACGAGTTGATAAGAAATCTAGATTTCTCAGAGACAAAAAAAACCCCCACAAAAATATGATTTTAAAACAATAGGAAAATGCAGATCAGAATACTAAAATAATACTATTGCATTATAATATTTACATAGATATATGGAAATCATGGGATCATAAATCATAGATTTATTGAGACTTCAAGTTTCAATCTTCTCATTTTATAAAGAAACTAAAGTCTAGATAGACTAGTAATAAAGGTTGAAATGAGTGACCTTGGGTTTCCGTGGTTACTTCCTTGGATGTGGACAGATGGGTTGATTCTTGTGTTTCTTTGTCCTACCAAGGTCACCTGGGTTTAATCCTAGCTCTGCTTTATCTCATTTATCTATCTTGGGGAGAGTTATCTAGGCTTCTCAGCCTGAGTGTCTTCATCTTCAAAATAACCTCAGGGGCACTGAGAGGATTATTCAAGATTGCATTTGTGAAATACATAGCAAGGAGCAGACACATGGTAAATTGTGATTCCATCCTCTGACATCTGCTCTTGGTGTGAATGCAGAGCAAAAAGCCTTGTGGCCAATATATGTTGCAACTTCCTCAATTGTAAACAAATATCATGAAAAAGATAACCACTCTTTGTGTGGCTTTTCTATGGGACAGGCCTCTGACAAAGACCAGCTTATATGATCTCATTTAATACTTGCAAAATATCTCCTTTGAGGGTACATAGTTGAAGGCAGCAACATCAGGATTTGAACCCAGGTTCCAGACCTGCCTACAAATCCTGACTCCTCTATATTATGTATAAAAATAAAATAACACCTATGGTTGGTGGCATTAATCATAATTGATATAACTTAATAATAATATTTATTATTATATTACTTTTGTGGAGTTTTTTTTTTGACTTTTTAGCCTTGGTACCTAGTCTTTTTAAATCTTTTTTTAAATTTTTATTTATTTATTTATTTTAAAAATACATGACAATAGTGATACCTCTCAGGAACTTTCTGATTTGGCTGACTGATCTTTTTTGGCATTATGAAAAATATATGATATGTGAGCTCTTTGTGGTGGGGGTACTTTTTCCATGTTGACAGACCATGAGCAAGAGAAAAAAAGAAAATCCTAGAAGTTAAAATTCAAAGGAGGCTTTGAGAAGGCATCACCGTGATCCATGTTCATAATACACCTCTCAAAAGTTGAAGTACAGTTGTAAACTATTGATTTTACATTTCTAACTTTGGAAAATCCTATGGGAATGATTCCATGTTTTGGTGATAGCTGGAAATTAGAACCCCTGTATGAATGCTTTCCCATTGAGGTTTGCTGAAGAACTCTCCTAAGGCTAGCCTTATTTTACAGATGAGGAAACTAAGGTTCCATGTGGTATTGGCATTTTCTAAGAGGTGCCCTGATTCCTGTCTATGAACAAGACCTTTCAGGCATCCTATCATGTGCAGATAGGATAGGAGCCTCTTTGTTAAGGATGTCTACGTCAAAGGGAGACTTCACTCTGCATAAATGCCAGATTGATTGAGATGCTATGGTAAATTGCCTCCAACAAGTACAGCCTGGAAGTATTCCTATCCTTGTGTACTCAAGTTGATTCTCTTATCAAGAGACAAGGTCTAGGGCTGGGTTTGTAGCTCAGTGATAGAGTGCTTGCCTAGCATGTGAGAGGCACTGGGTTTGATCCATAGAACACCTAAACATAAATAAATAAAATAAAAGTATTGTGTCCAACTACAACTAAAAAAATTTTAAAAAATACTTAGGCAAGGTCTATTTCACCTTCTTGGAATCTGGGATGACCTTGTGATATGATTTGGCCAACAGGGCATGACAAAAGTGATGCTGTTTCAGTTCAGGGACAATCCCTTAAAATGATGGCAGCTTCTGCTTTTGCTCCTTTGGAAGCCAGTTGTTGTGTTGTAAGGAAGCTCTGGCTAAATAGTCAAACAGAAAGAGAATACATGCAGAAAAATCCATGTGAAAGAGAATAAGGCACCCAAGTCAATAGCCAGTACCAAGGGTTAGAGGTGTAAATGACATAATTTTGGATATTCCAGTCCCAGATGAACTCTCAGTTGAACACAGTCCCAGGAAGAATACAACATAGAGCAGAAGTACTGCCCAGTTGGTTCAGATGACCCAGGTAGAATGGAGAATAATAAAATCACTTCTGTGTAAACCATTGTGCTTTGGGTGATTTGTTACATAGCAATGGACAACTGAGCAGTTACCATTGCTAATGTAACCTAAATTATAGGTTAATGCCACACTGGTTTGGAGCCAGAAGTCCACACCTGGCTTGCTTGTCCTTCTGATATCATGGTAGGACACAGGCCCACATACCATTAACAAATTCTTCAGCTGAAATGGTTTCTCTGTGTAACTAATGAGAACATTTGACACTAAAATGGTGGTGGTACTCTTAGTTTCAGCCAGGGTTAAAGTGCCTGAAACTTAATTTTCCATCAGTAGAGTCGAGTTCTGTTTATTTGTAATTGATTTCAGTTACTCTTGTTAAAGGAGATGCCTAGTGTGCTTTCCCTTAGCCCATATATACTCCCACTAGTCCAAGTCGGAATGACAGGTGTTTGATAAGGGCTGTCTTCTTCCTTTCTGAGGCTGGCACTGGCACAAATGACACAAGGAGAAATAGCTATACTTGAGTTTATGACAGAATAAATATGAGATTGCTTGTTAAAATTAGCAAGTTTAGGATTAGTGAAGAGTTAATTATTCTTGTGCAGGGTTTCTCAACCTTGGCATTATTGCCATTTTGAGCTAGACAATTCTTTGTTGTGAGGGAAGATGTCTTGTGTATTGCAGAATGCTTAGTAGCTACCCTAGCCTCTCCCCACTAGATACCAGCGGCATCCTATTGCAAATGTAGTAACTGAAAATTGCCAAATATGCCTACACTGGGGACAGTTGAGGACCACTAGTTTAGAGTCCCAAAGACTTCTGTATTAGTGCCATACTGCTGGGTAATGTAACCTTAGGAGGTAATGATAGGTGATACAGGAAGTGGGCTATGAGAAATTTAAAATGCCTCCTTTGCAACCCCTCAGTAGCTCTGGGAATATTCAGAACAGCAGTACTTTGGGAGGCAAGTACTAGAGTTAAATTTTTTAAAAAAGATACCATAATTATCAATATTATTTTAAATATGGGAGAATTTGCTTATTTCTAAAAGGGATGGCAGTATATTTCTTTAGTTATTTGTTTATCAGCTGTTATGGTTTGAATCTGAGGTGTCTCCACAAAGCTTTTATGTTAATAAGGAATATTCAAAGGTGAAATTATTATGAGAGTTGTAAACTAAACAGTCCATCCTGGTTTGAATGGATTAACTGGGTGGTTAATTGTTGGCAGCTAGTGTACGCCTAGAGGAGGTGGCTCACTGGGGGTGTGTCATGGAAAAGTTTGTCTTCCCTGCAGCCCCTTCCCATCTCTTTCTGCTTCCTGGCTAGCATGAGGTGAGTAGCTTTCCTCTGCCACTTTCCTTCCACCATGATAATCCACCTCACCTCAGGTCCAAAGCAATGAGGGTGACCAACCATGGACTGAGCCTCTGAAACTGCGAGTCTCAAATAAATTTTTCTCCTCTAAGTTGGTTTTGTCAGGTATTTTGGTCATAGCAACATAAAGCTGACTAACACATTACTTATGTAAGGAATTGATCAGACTAGCCAGCTGAAGGTAGCTAGCTCTTAAGTCTCCTTTGCAGTCATACTCCTCCTGGTTGGAAGGTTAAACAGCCTTTCTTTACTTTTAACATTTTTCACTTCTCTATCATTATTTCATAGTAAATCTCTCCCTTGAATACTCTAACATTAAGATTGTCTGATAATTGATTTAGGTAGGAATGGGTACTCCAAGATAATATTTCCTTGGCCTATGGATTAGGAAACCCAACAGCAAAAAATGCTTAGATGTGATTTTCATTTTAACAATGACAATTCGTTTAGGTAGAGAATGAAACAATTTATATCATAACCCGAAATATAAAAAAGTACAGCTATGAATGGCTTAGTGTTTGCTCAACTTAAAAGGAGACAGAAAAACTTGATCCTGAGCATATATTAAAATGTTAAGATCATCACACTGCCATCCTCCCTCCTCCCTGGGCTCTGGAGAAAGCTTTTTGTATTCTGATGCCAGTCACTGAACTTGAAGTTGGCCAAATTCAGAAAGCAGCTGGTGGTTGAATGCACTGTCTAGTTAGCGGTATCAGGGGCCACTGATTGAAACAAATATTACAGAGGAAAGGCAAGGAACATTCTGATGTTGAGTAACTCAGTCACAAAACATGTCTAAAACTCCATCAACACACATTAATTATGAGAACACTTCTGATGAAGCCTTCAAGAGCATGTGAACCTCCCAGGTGTTCCACCATATGCAAAATGTCATTGAAAAGATGGAGACCCAAGGACTGACAACTCCCATAAGTAACTCTGTTTCAGGTTTTTTCATAATATCCATACCTAACTTGTTTCTTCATTTACCTAGGAAAGGTCAGTTTTCCCCCATCGATCATCCCTTCTATGGGTGTTAAAATGGCTGTGGTTATTTACACACCTGTAGATGCCCTCTACCAGGATGAGAATCTTCTTCCAAGCTCTGCGGGTTCGAGGCTGACCATAGATGATAGCTTCTCTCAGGAGCTTCTCTAAGTCTTCTATATCTTTACATAATAAAAAAAATTAATAAGAAGAAGAAGAAGAAGAAAGAGAGGAGAGAGAGAGAGAGAAATTAAGTCATGAGAGGGTTTTTCTTTCCCTCCCTCATTTTCTCTCCTAAGAAGGTGTCAGATAATTTAGGTTCACACTCAGACTTGAACTTTCAGAGAACTAAGTTAGAATCAGAGAACATCAGGGACGACAGAACTCTATTTCTTAGTAAAACTTAACTCTCTTGAGATGAATAGCTGGATTTGTATGAGCAGGCAGAGTCAACCTTATGGAAGGTGTGTGTTTTCCAAGGCTCTTAACGGTTTCTTCTGCTACATTAAAGAGCTTGAAATTCTACATTTAATGCATCTCTTAAGCTAAAGCTTGTTGCCAGTTTAAAATGACCTCTGAGAGATACAAGTAACTCCCACTCAGGTATTGTGCAGACAAGTATACTAGGATTTAATTAAGTTTTCATAGCATGGCAACTTTGCTGGTGGGGGATCTCACTTCCTATGCTATGGGACTTGATTTTTTTTTCTTGGTACCTGGGATTGAACCCAGGGGTGCTTAACTCCTGAAACACATCCCCAGCCCTTTTTATTTAGAGACAGGTTCTCACTGAGTTACTTAGGGCCTTGTTAAGTTGCTGAAGCTGGCTTTGAACTCAGGATCCTTCTGCCTCAGCCTCCTGAGCCACTGCGATTATAGACATGTGCCATCAAGCCTGGCTGGGCTTGATTTTTGACATCTTTCAATTTTAGAAGTTTCAAAACTATAAGAGGGTAGGACAACTAGTCCTCCTTTGTAAAATATTTGCAGAGTTCTGGACACATTAATAATAGCTCCTAATTATTGAATCCTGTATGTGTGCATTCACCCTTCCAAGCCCATTCGTTCTTTGTTAAAGTTCATTTAATCCGCATAAGAACCCTCTGAAGAAAGTACTAAAAATATGTCCATTTTATGATTTGGGAAACTGAGGCACAGAGGGGTTTGGTAAACTACCCAAGGTCTAGATCATAAATGGCAAAGTCAGGATTTGACCTCATAGTCTGTACTGTGATTCTCATTTGTGACTGCTACCCTTACTGCTTTACGTGAAAACCATGTGCTATCTTCTCAAACTCCATGATAATGTAGAAAGAAGGAGGAAAGTCCAGCAGATCGTCTTTGTTAACATTTACTGACAAATATAATTAACAGTGCATTTCATTTATCTGCAATTTGATGTAAATGGCTGGGCTTGGGTTGAGAGATTATGATGAACTTGTCTATCAACTCAGCTATTTGGTGTGTGTGTGAGCGTGTGTTGGTGCGTGTGTGAGTGTGTGTTGGTGTGTGTGAGTATGTGTGTGTGTGTGTGTGTGTGTGTGTGTGTGAGAGAGAGAGAGAGAGAGAGAGAGAGAGAGAGAATGAATCATCAAGTACATTTGAGCAAAGTACATTCAATAAAGGTGCCTTCATCTGAATAGGAGTAAGCTTGGATAAATCAGATTTTGCTGGCTCGTTTCAGAACATTTTTGCAAAGGAAACCCTGGTTTCTTTGTGTCTCACAACCTGTCACCAGCACCAACATACTATCTTGAGCTCTGACATTCAGAAAAAGTATGTGACATGTAACTAGGAGCATTATGTTCTAGAAAGCACTCTTGGAAATCCAAGACTTAGCTCTAACATACTCTTTGACATCCTTTGATCTTCTTAAGAAAACTCATAGTGTATTTTATGAAGTAATGAAGAAATGAAGAAATAATTCTTTATTCAAATAAATAAGGCCTTACATATTGGCAAGAGCCCCTTTTTAGTGTTTCATCAATCACATTTGGCATCATATGTGAACCAACAGATAAAAAAATGTCACTTTTATTTCTTTAATTATCCAGAGACTAACTTTCTGGGTGATACATCTGTTTAGTTACAGAATTAATCAATGGTAATGATAACATGGGAATCCGTGAAAAAAAGAAATAAAAGAGATGGTAGATTTTCATTTTATTTCATGCCATTTTTTTCCCTTTGTCTGCAAAACAGGCTTAATGATATGCCTGGCATCAGCATTGTTTCCTATGCGTCAAGTACATCCTAATTGCCAAATATATGGGGCTTTTACAATTATAGGCTTCTTTCCCCCCAGTCCTGTCCTATTAGACATACGAGTGGCATTTGATATAATTCAGCCTGTACTTAGCTTTAAGTTTCTCTCCTCTAGTGTTTGGACACCATTCTTCTTTAGTTTCGGTTATCCCTCTTCCCACTATTTCTAGTGTCCTTTATAGGAGCTGTTTCTTCTTTCTACCACTGTTCTTTTTGATGTTCATCTCTTGTCTTTTATTTTGTCATTTATTTGCCAGTGGTCTCCACCCTCAGTGTGAACAGAATACATCATCTAGGGTTCTGATCAACATGCAGACTCCTGATGTTTCTATTGAAATTGACTCTCTCCTGAGAGTTGGTGTGAGATGAGGCCCAAGTGTTTGCATGTTTGGGCTCTTAGAGCTCTTGGATGCTTAACTCCAAGCCAGATCTCTGTTCTGGGTTACAAACTGTTTTTCCAACCTTATAACTCTTTAGACAAATCCGTGGGTATCTCAAACCCAACATTTCCAAGATGGAACTCATGGCAGATTGCATTATTAAACTTATTTCCCACTCTCCCTTCATTTGAGTTTTTTGCTATATGACTTTGCCATTTTTTTCCTACTAAAAAGGTAGACAACCTGCCTCTTGACTGGGGTTCAGCCAAGTGAATATCTTGGGTTAATCAAGTTTAAAGAGGAGACAGTTTGCTAGTTCCAAGTACAGGTTGGAAAAAAGGCCTCATATATTTCTATTCTTTCTCTTTAGCTTCTGCTAGTGTCTTGATAAAAAAAAATCCCCAGACTAGTCCACTAGTCCCAGGATGGTCCCAGAAAAAAATAAAAGATAGGCAGGGCTTAGTTATCCCAAGCCTCCTACAATCTCAAGTGAGAAATAAGTGCTGATTTTTATGTGCTATTGAGGTTTTTAGGTTATTTGTTATAACAACAGGGACCTTATACAATCTCAAAAGTCCCTTTCTAGTTTAGCCTCTGCATATTTTTCAGACATAGTTTCTCAGTGTTCTCCAACACACAGTCTCCAAGCTCTTCCACACACGTCTTTTCCTGTTGTCTATGAAGAGTTCCACTCATCATTCACACATCAACTCAAAAGTTCCTGGTCAATAATGGGGCTTTCTCCTCAGTGCCCCTCATGACTCATCTATTCTTCTTTTAAGCACCCATCACAAGACTCATTATTGATTTTCATATCTCTCCTCCCTGGAAGACAGAGGCCTTCTCTTCTTTATCTTTCTAGCCAAAGTCCAAGTACAAATATTAGGGACACATCAATATTGGATTATTGGATCGATTCTCTTTTCATAGAAGTAAAGACCACTTTTAGATATAAGTAAAAATTATTAGAAAGGATAATTGCCAACTGTCTGTGACAATTCTTTAATCATCTGTGCTTTTGTTTTTGTTTCAAAGACAGGTCTGTCTCTTCTGAATGTTTTTTTTTTTGGTGCATGTTTTATCATTAACCACTAGATGGCAGCCAAGGAAACAAAAAGTAGCTCTGTCAAATTTTCAAGGGTCATCAGCCCTCACTTGTGTTGTTGTTGTCATTTATGCTGTAGTCTGAGTGTCTAAAATGTTGAAAGGACCTAGTGATTGGAGGAACTTGTGTCCCTTTTCTCCATTTACTGCAGGCTGTTAGCCTCTGAATGGATAAAGCAAGCTCTATTTAATGGATGTTTTTCCTTTCCAGATTTGAAATTTGGAAGTTTTGTATAGAAATGATACATGATGAGGATGACTAGAATGCCATCCTTATAAAAACCAGCTCAAGTGAACTACATTCACAGTCATTTTAAGATGGAGATTGCAAGATTTTGAAAAATCTATAAATCCACAGGCTTTTTCTTTCCCCTTGAAAATGTCCTATACGCCCTCTACAGGGCTAGTTTTAAAATGAATGCCACTAGTCCTACAGAGAAGTTTCTCTCTTCTTTTAATAGCAAGCAGAACATGAAAATAAGCCATTAAGTGACATGATACATTTTATGCCCTTTTCCCAATGAAACCAAAAGGATTCCTAGTGCCTCCAAAACTGTGCCTCATCATTTGTCACTTGAATAGCAAATTCCATGAAGAGAGGCTTTTGGTGGATTTCACAAAACCCCCCAGTGTGCACATACTTTATTCTCTGCATACAAAAAAAAATCAGAGATTTTTTTTTCCCTCCTGGTTTCCCCTGGGAGGGACAAAATCACTGACCTAGAATCACAGAAGTTGGACAGGGAAAGGGATGACTTCACTCAGCCTGAGTTCTGTACCCACATTAGCCTCGCTTGGGCAGTTTCCTCTCTGGTTCTGCAAGTCTTGCTCTGCAAGTCTCTGTGTGTCAGTTTCAAACCCGTAGGATTCAGGGGATTGTGATTTATGTTCTGTAGGCCTTGTGGGATTGTGCCATTTCCGCAAGCCACCTGCTAACATCTGCGAGGGATCTTTACGTAGTAATACTTACTACATCCCTTATTCTGGCATTATGTTAATCCTTACAACAACTCTGAGAAATAGGGAAGAATGACTAGGTGATTTTTTTTTTCAGAGAGCAAACTAATGCCAAATTTGTTTAGAAAAAAAAAAAAGTCCCCCAACAAGCCCATTTTTGTTGTTTTATAAGAAAACTCTGAGATGTGGAAATTCAAATAAAGGAATGATTTTTGACACTATCAAGGCACACGGTACTATTGTACAAAGTTGTTGTAAAGTCATAATGACATACTATGTGATTATAATCACTGTAAATGTGAGCATCAACAATGCTTTAGATGTTACTCACCACAAAATCTGACTCACCAGGGAGGTTTCTTTTGCTCTGTGGAGAACCAAGAGGATGGACCTGACAAGATGGTTGTGAATATTTAACTATCAAAAATGAAAACGTGGAGGCTATGGTCCATGGCTGGTACAACAGGCCTGGTCTT